CTCTTTGCCTCGAAAAAACAAGAATTTTCTGACATCCATCTACAGGAGGAATTAGTCATTGTTCAGATAGTGTAGCTATCACTCATGGAAACTTTACTTACTGGGACACGTGACCGAGTACAAGTGATCTAGGGACGCCGATGGTCAGGGCCGAGGGAGCGAAACAGAGTGAGGGAGGTGAGAGAGGCAGGTGAAGCCGGGCAAACCTGACAGTAGGTTCACCCAAAAAGCTTTGTCCTTCATTTGTTTCACTTGACTTTGTGAAATTACAAATAGCTGAAAGCTTCTGGTATTTCTTTAAAAACAAGCCAAGTTCAGGGAAAAAACATTTTATGTAAGAAATGTTTTCTTTCTGATCCCTTAAGATTCACCCTGAGACCCCAGACTTGGGAACCTCTGCATTATAAAATGTCTTGCACTTATATACAGTAGCACAAATCAGATTGCTTCACATTCCACCTATTCACAACTAAAATCTAGTCCAGCCGGTGGTGCTGCACCAAAAGGTCAGTGCTTTCAAGGTTCAGCCTTGTAGGAGCAATACATAGTAAGTCAATAAAACATAGTCTTGTGGTTGTTGAGATCTAGATCTGCATCAGCATGGACAAACTGAGTCAGCACCCATCAGCCATCTTTAATAAACTGAAACCTTACTGGGTTCTGGGTTGAACCCTCACTTGACAGTATTTGTCATTTGAGATTCAGATATAAAACTTAAGTAGAAATATAAAATCTACATTTTAGGGCTGTTAGAAGTAGAGTACAATAACTTTTTTGTTTAAAAAATGTATTTAAAGGTGTGAATTAGCTGAGTTTCCTCTTGTTTTGTTTCAGCTGGAGCTAGAGGGGGACCTGGACCTCCAGGTGACTGCAAAGGGTTATGGACTCGCTCTGTTTCAGGTAGTTTCACACCAGTCTAACAGCAAACACCTGACCTCTGAGTCACAACCCACATTTGTGGGGATTCAGGCCTGGTGTTCTGCTCATTGACACTATTTCCCAACAAGGCAAGTCTGTAAATAACTGAGTTTCAAGCATAAAGTTTAAAAAAAGCTGAACCAATCAGAGCTTTGTAGACAGGATAAAGAGTCAGGACATCGGCTGTACAGGCTGATGTTAGTCAACTTTAAAAAAACCATTTGAAATAAATCTATTCAGTCATTCTGACAAACATGAGGTTAACTGCTCCGAGCAACTGCTACCACAGCTCCTGTGTCGACTGAACAGGTTTGCTACTTGACTCGCTGCCGATCAGTCTGAAGAAAATGAAACTAAAGTTAAGGAATTTACAGAAATAATCTGAACAGAAAGAATATTTAATGAGTTTTTAGTGACAAACACCACCTCCTGTTGGTCACATGACAAACATCCTTAAACTCCAGCTATTGTAACAGAACAACATGAAACATGAGAAAATGTGTGAAATAACCAATATATGACCATGGCAAAAAAAAAACAACTTGCTTGTGCATTTTCCTTCTTTGTCCTCGTCCCCCAGCTGAACGTGTTTTACAACATCAGGAACAATGAGCTGACAGAGAGGAGACGACGAGATGTCAGCGAACGCGAGGCATTTCATCTGGAAGTCAAGCTGTTGGACAAAGAACTAGACTCAGCTGATCTGTTCATCTGCAGCAGGTGAGCAGCTCGGCTCTGACACGCACCCAGTTTCCATAAGAACCTTTTAAAAATTGTTATAAAAAGGATGCTCGTTATTTAGCAGTAGTTTAAGCCGTCATATGTGACATCTCATTTTATTTTACAGTCTGTTCCTATGTATGTATGATAAATTAGAGTCCTGGTAATTTATGGCACCTGATAAAAACATTCCTTACCCTGCAGCCTGTCAAAGGGTCTGGGTCTGAATGCCACGGGCATGGCCATCATAGAGGTGGGTCTGCTGAGCTGCTTCAGTCTGGCACCGGACGGCATCCAGACCAACACCTATCTGAAGAACGTAGAGACGAAGCCAGAATTAGTCATCTTGTACCTGGACTCTGTAAGCTTCACTGAAACAAACTGCAAAACAGATGTACTGAAGGTGTCAGTGATGAGATTCAAATGTGTTTCCAGGTGACGACAGAGGAGATGTGTCTGCAGGTTCCTCTGGTCATGTACTGTAAAGTCGCCCAAGGCCAGAAAGCATCTGTCGTCATCTATGATTATTATGAACCAAGTAAGGAGTCCCGTAATCATTCTTAACTTTTTTGCACAGTTACTACACCTCACTACTGAAGCCCTGAGAGGCAAGTCCGATCTATTTTTTTCCTCTCCTGTGTTTATGACCCAAGACCAGGTGGAAAGAAGTTTTTGCCTTGCTAATCTTTCTGAGTTACTTAATTTTTTCACCATCTGTAAAATAGAGGAATCATTTTTCAGGTTGAAAAACAGTTTTGCCAGGATCACTGTTCCAAGTTCCAAGATATCAGAAAGACCTCTATGTATTCCTCAGTAAAGTGTGTATATTATAAATGGTACATCACTGGGAAGTACTGCAATGTTTTTTTTCTAGCTCACTGGTCTTGTAACCACAGGTGTCCAAGTTGAAATGCTGAAAATTTGACAGTGAATTTAAGTTACAGAAAACTACAAGAAAAAAGCCAAAAACAAACTTATTTGTAGAACTGAACTGTTGACCTCTGACCTTTCTCTCAGGACGGAAGACGGTGAAGATGTACTACTCAGAGTGGAGGAGCAGCATGTCCACCTGCTCCTTCTGTGGCGAAGACTGCAGTGAGTGCAGACAAAACGACTACTCCGTGTTCAGCACGTCGTCACACAGCAGCCAACAATTCCTACCGACCACTTTACTATTTGCTCTGCTTGTCCTGCTCAGAATAATGATTTGATTTGATTTATTCTTTCAAGCATGTAGAGACAGTTGATATGTCAACACACATAATTTTACACATATCCAACAAATAATCTAATATACAGTGGAATAACCTTTGCTATTTTCATATTATTGGGGAACTGACCAAGTCGAAACGACATGTTAAAAATATGGGTTAATGGTTTGCATATCCCCTCAATTACCCATTTAACAGTTGTCATAGTGATACCATCACTATCACTAGATGTTTTGTTACCACATTTATTCACTATCTCTATAATTTCCTTTTCAACTATGGGCTTCAAAAACATTGAACTCATGTTCCTTTCGATTATATTATTATTTATAGTGACGGATGTATCATCTGTACAAATGCTTCTTGCTAAACCAGGACCAACATTCACAAAGAGCCTATTAAACTTATCTACTACATCCTCCAATCTATTGACCGGTGTATCATTGGCCATGAAATATTGAGGGTAGTTACTCCTGCTGGTACTGTTTCTAATCAATTTATTTAATATATTCCAAGTACCTCTCATATTATTTTTATTATCCTCTAATACTTTAGAATAATATTGTTTCTTACATCTCCTCAAAATCTCAATTAATTTGTTCTTATATGACTTACATTTTTCTTCCGCCTTCTTTGATCTGTACTTTATGAATTCCTTATATAACACATTCTTCTTTTTACATGCATTCTGTAATCCCTTACTCATCCACGGTTTCCCACTGTAATTCCTCTTGTTTTTAAACTGCTTACGAGGACAGTTCCTGTCATATACTTTCTTAAATATATTTAAAAATTGCTCATATGCTTTATCTAAGTCTTCCTTTCTGTAAACTG